AGGGCCTTCATTTCTTTTTGCATCTCATTAAACTGATCTTGGAAGTCATCCATTCTGTCATAGAATCCAATTCCTTCACTTGGCGGGGGAGTAGTATGGTGAACCACGTCATTAATAACAGGGACAACATTCATTACTGGAGGCACAACATGACGAATCTCAATGTTAACAATAGGAGTAACGTGTACCACAGGAGGGGCAGAAGCCATAATTTGTTGAGTAAGGTTATATCCTTATGGCATATAACCTTAAGGCATTCCCCATGGATATCCAGGAGGCATGTGATGCTGAGCAGCAGTAGTATTTAGAGCAACTGAGACGGGAGCTGTCATAATTTCAGAGATAACCGTTGCTTGTTGTGGTTTCATAGTATGAGGAGGTGGAAGTGGTGGTGGATGATTCTGAGCAGCCACCAACGATTCTACCAAAGCAGTTAAGTTCGCCATTCTAGTTCTTAAAGAGGTAACCTCTTCGCGCAATTTGCGATTCTCCTGTTCGAGATTTTCCATCTTCTTCTTAGAGTTGGCTCGAGTGTTGTACTGGTGAGACAACTTGATTCTGAAGACCAAAGGACTTTGGGTAAGACTTCTGAGAGACTCATGAAATGCATAGTCAAACATAACATGATGCATGACATGCAAGAGAAATGCCATGTTTTTATTTCCAAAAGTTTCTATGCTTTTATTTCTGTTACTAAGCCACAATATCATTATATAGTTTGTTGTGTATTTATTATTATTATATATTTTTTGTTTATTTATATTTTTTTTGGCTTAGCAACTGGAATCAAAGAAATGATATTTGGAAACGGAGAATATGTATGTTGATGATTACATTAACATGCTATGTATGTCAATATGCGGGATCAAAGATTCTGCAATACTGGATAGCTGCTGAACTGATAATAGAACCACTATCATATGTAATAAGATCAAAGGTACGGACCAATTCAGAATACCGAGGATCAAAGTCATCAGTATAATCAGAGTCACCAACGGAACAAGTATAGTCACCATCTGTACCTGTAAATATTATTCCCTCCCCACTCACGGGTAAAGACTAGGTCGTGGTAAGGTCAATGGTAACTCAAAATCGAGGGTACTCCTGAAAAACTATCGCTATATCACCTACGTGAAAATGATAGCCCCGCATTTGTACCTCATCTGAGCGTGGACGACATAACGGCATAGTGAAACCTAAGTCAACTAGTCGTTCCTGTTCCACTCTATTCCTAGTGTTCCTGTGGTTATCACTTGGCCTGGGTATTGGGCATTTTACCTCTTGTAACACCCACCCAATCATGAAGAAAGATCCAGCACAATGACAACATAACAAATAACAATAAAGATGCAATGCAAACATATGCTCAAACATATACAAATGAATAATCCATAATAGCATAATGATAAACACCCTAAGAAAAGAAAAACAAGAGCTAGGAGTGACTCACGGGATGGACCAGTAATAGGTCGACATGTTCTTCCCCAGTGAAGTCACCATTTTTCTGTAGCGGTAAAATCAATGAAGTCACCACCGAGTATTTATTTATCCCATATAAAAGGGAAATGAAAATCATCGAAGAAAAACCTAAAGGGGGAAATCAAGGTCTTGCGACCGAGAGATTGGGTAAGGGAGTCGATTACGCGAGCGGAAGGTATTAGCACCCCATACGTCCATAGTACTCTATGGGATCCACTCTCGTTATTCTAATCAAAGGGTGTGTTCAATCTAATGCTTAAGCGTTATAAACTAAGAGGGAATTCATGCATAGAAAACACGGGGAAAAGAAGGAAGTATTTACAATTTTCGCTAAGCTATGCCCCGTGACCAGATGCCTACGTATCCCCTTTAAGGAATTAGATCGCCGTAGTTCGGCTCATATATTTTGTTTGTTTGTATTTTTTAAATGAACAATGTTGCATTCGATCATTCCACCGCTGCTCGATCTTTGGAGACTTATAACCTATAGTGGAAAGGAGCTAACATGCTCTTAGAAGAGAAAAGACGAATGGCGAAAAGAAATGGATTGGTTGGTATTTTTTACCATGAAAAGAATTTTTGTATGCTTAACATTCTTTACATATTTTCCAAGAAAAAGAAGTTTTAGTTTTAAATGCAATTATGCAAAAATGGGAAGAGAAAAAAAAAACTCAGGGAGACTAACCTATCTCTAACCTAATGTTATCATACAATGAGAGATCCTATCTAAGTTAGCATTCCAAAGAAAGTCTAACAAACTATCCTATAGGGAATATATAATGAGAGCGAAGTCGTGATCTCAATCTCTAAATTGAGTAACTCATCGATCAACAGAAAATAAAGGGAAGCGATAAAATCCTATAGGGAGCATGCACTGAGAGCGAATTCGTGATCTTAATTTCTAAATTGAGTGACTCATCGATGAACAAGAAAGGAAACAAACACAAGCACAACACATATAAGAAATGAAGTGCAGAATGCCTGCTATAGGTCTTTAAACAACGACTTCGAGCCCACACTCTTTATTTCCTACTTCTCATGATATCTAGCAAGCGATAAATGCGTAGAAAAATAAATTGGAAGCAGTGTAATACCAAACGAACAATAAAGTCCGCAAAAAGCGCAACCAAAGAAAAGAGACCCAGAATACTTCACGCAAGCTAGCATCAACAAATAAACAGTCAGAGATTGAATATTTGGAATAGGTGTCGAAACTTCATCGATGTGAAAATAAATCACAATCGGAATCCAAACGCATCCCCATATCAAATTATGATCCTGCATAAGATTCAATTCAACATGCAAAGGTGAATCACAAGTCACAAGTAATCGAAAAATTAGGAATTAATTTTCTAAAAAAATCAAATGAGAAATCAAACAAATTTTTATTGATTTTTGTAGTTTATTATCCTAAAAAAACAAGAGGCGTTCTTAAAATCTATATTTTTTATTGTTTTATTATACGTATTTTACTACTATTTTTATTATTAAAGGAATTTAAACTAAACTAAAAGAAAATCTAAAAAAAGCATAGGAAATAGAAATAATAAAGGGGGTGTTGAACCAAATTCATGGTACTGCAGGCAGATAAATTGATAATAAGCCCAATCTAAATAGACCCATAAGAAGTTTTTTTTCATAAGCTAAAAAAATTCCAAAAATGGGCCTAGAGGATAGTGTATACGCGCAGAAGCACCAACATATCAGCCAAAATTAGATTCCAAGTCCCTATACTGATACATGGAGGCTAGGGTTCAATTAGGGGTGTCACTTCAACTTCAACGAAGAATCTTCCTTCTTCTTCAACAGATGATGCTGAATTCAATCTCCGTGATGATTCACTCTCCTATCCTCTGCCATGGTTAAGCGCATCCCCACCTTGTGTCACCGTGAAACACCTAGTCCTAACCTTATCTCAATCCTTGGTGTGATTTCCGGTAAGGAAGGTCGCCGCGAGCGCCGTTGTCAAAAGATCGCAAAATTTAAATCGCATACACCAATCCCTTGGTCTTGACGTCCTCAATATGAATCTACTAGTTTTTTATTCATCACTCTCTCTTTTTTTTATAACCTGCCAAAACCCTAAGGATTGATATCAAGATTCACAGTGATAATGCCATCTCAATCCCGATCATCCTTGTTTACTGATTTACAATGAAGAATAGGAAAATCGATGGTAACAGGAGCAGAGTTTGAAGTTCAGTATGGCTTACCTACCGAAGAACTCCGGTGATTCTTCAGATGTGGCGAGGATGATGATTGGAGATTCAGATAGATATGGTGATGAAGACTGAATAAAGTTGTTGCATACGAGAAGTGCAGAACAGTAAAGAGAACTTGAAGATTTGCAGAGAATCAGAGAGGGCTTATAGGTTGTGATTTAGAAAGAGGAATTCGTTGAAAATTGAAGAACTGCGATAATGAAGATGAAGAGAGACCGATGAGAGAAAGACTAAACTCTTGAATTTTATCAGCAGTGGTTTTCCTGAGTGCTCAAGAATAATGAAGACATTCTGTGAAGGATGCCTAGAATGATGAAGGATTTATAAGTATGATGAAGATGAAGATTAGAGATGGTTGAAGTTGAACTTTTAATGATGATGATTGAAACCAAGCTCTTGTAGAAGAAGAGAGAGAGTGCAGGAATTTTCTGTTATGGAGATTTTCTGGTGGTGATGAGGGAGCAGAGAATCCTGAAGGTGATGAAGCAGGTTGCAGATGTAGAGATTAAATGAAGGTTCAGGATGAAAGGAGAGAGAATGGACGTTGAAAGAAAGTAGAAAGAATGGAGGTTGAAAGTGAAAATCTCAGGTCTTCTTCCCGAATTACAGAGAATTCAGAGGTGAGTTCCTTTTGGACTTTTTTCTATTTTCTCTTCTCCCCTCCCCCCCCTTTCATTATGTTGTCATATCATTATTTTTTTAGAAGTTTGTTAGAAATTCAGTTAAGAAGTTAAAAAATTCTGTTAGAAAAAACAGTTAGATGGTTGGAAGTTAGTTATCTCTATTTAGAAAACAATTAGTATTGTTAGTTAGTTAGTTAGAGAGTAGAAATGAATTTTATTAGAAAGTTTACAAGTTTGTTGAAGATGTTAGAACCTTCTGATATATTTTTCTGGATAGGCTAAGCCGAGAATTAGACTTGAATCTTATTCTATTTTCACATTTTCTGATTTTTCTGAGTTTCAAACTCTTTTAGTAATCTTTTTCTGTTATCGAACTACTGCACACCAAAAATCTGTTATGAAACTGGTATCATTTAATTATGAACAGGTTTCATCCGATTTAACTGTTTGGGAAACTGATGCAGGGGCCCATTTTGCGAGGACTAACTTCAAATGGCTTTCTATAAACTTGTTTATTGGATGAACTGCACTCTGGTTATTATTAGCAAGTCAGGATAAAGGCTTGAGGCTATTACAAAACAATCGCCAAAGTCTTTCAGAATTTGTACTCGACTGGTTTTTTGGGTGACAAACAAATACAATTTGAATGTATGCGCGCTTGGATCTATAGTGAACTATGTCGACTGTAAGGGCTTGAATTCTTTATATTATTTCACATTAAATAACTATTCTTCTGAATTTGAACATGGTTTAAGTCGAATTGGCACTTACTTGAAGTGAGTTTATGAATTAAGTCACAAACTTGAATTTATTCATGCCTATTTTTTGTATGAGTTGCGCAGATTCTGAACATATTGCAATGTTTTGAAATAGGGTAGGGTTAATCACTTTGCATCAGAATTAGTTTACCATGGGACTCAGGGTCCGTTTGTGATGTCATTGCTTTTGACTTGTACAATGACTGCTGAGATGGGAGCTGTTTACATTAGGCTCTTACTCAAACTATTCCTACTGGAATCCAAAGGTATTCTCTCTACCATAAGTCATGTAAGGAAAACCATCCTCATCCTTATTTTCTTCGTAAAGAGCAGACATTAAAGTAGTGGTTGGATGTTGTCAACGAAACAAAGATAACCTTCTCTGTATTGAACTTAATTTTTTTGCAAGTGACATAAACAAATGGACCAACAAACCAGTTAGTTGGAACAAGGTACCTCTTGTTACCAATGTCTATAATATCACTTTTTCGGATTTCTCTGAAATCACAAGTACTCTATCAGGATGCTTATCTCTAATGCGAATAGATTCAGCCTCCCTTCTCTCAAAAGGGTGTTGAGTCTTGAAGGAAGCTTTAGGCATGACTGCATTGGAAAAGCGGGAACTCTCAGTAAAGAATTGAAGATTGAAGTAAAGATGGAAACTTGACCATGAATGTTGAATGGTTGAAGATTAGCATAGGTTTAGGTTTGTGTAATTTGTGAAATGCAACTTTTATGATCAGAGTCAAATTTGTGGGACTCTCTTATTTGCGTAAGGCTTAATATCTCTTGTAATGAACGTAATTGAAACAAGTACAGTAACACATATCATCACTTGCATTCCTTTTTTTTGAAGAATCTTGAATGAATTATCACATTTATTTAAAGTTTGAATCTTTAAATATCGTTTGAACATAACCAATAGTCCCAAGATATTCCATTCTTGCCATGTTATCCTTGAGCATTCCTTCTCGGTTTTTTGCGGTATTCTCAAGACTTTAACCCCTTGGCCTCATAAACACCCACGAATAAATGGCTAATCCTTGCAATATGGAATCCATACCATTTTGAATGGACCTTGGTCCAAGAGTCTTGCACTGATGATAATGGATGAATAAATCTTGATTCTTAAATGATGCTTGAACGAATCTCAAGACATCACTTGAATCCAATTTTAGTTCTCAATTCAGATCCAAACCAATTTTCAAGACAAGCAACAAACAATGGACACACTGTTAAAGGCCTTTGTAATTCGAGTTTTCGATGGTCCACTCGATTATATTTTGAATTCAGATTATACTTTAAATTTGTTACCCATACGCATGAATTCTATTCCATAATAATGAACCCATTCTCTACTTCACTCTTCAAATCCAAGTAAATCTGGAAAATAATCAAGAAGTTGGAGAGATAACAAGGCCTTGATTACAGAGAACCCCCAAACTCCCACCATGTTGTATTACTCGCTCTTTAACTAACAAAAATCTCCATGAAAATCCAAAGAAGCGCTTACTTATCTGATAAGTGTTATCAGAAGAAGATAACCATAACCCTAAATGACGTCGGTGAAATCATAATAAGGAGACAATGATGATCCTTGTAGCCTTAAGGATAAAGCCTAGCCTGACAAACCTTTGCTAAAGATCTAATACCAAGCTCAAATATAACATAGGAGAAACCCTAATTCTTAACCTTTGACGACCATTGCTGAAGAAATGGCCTTGTATCTTAAGGAACTCTATTAGCGAAGACGTCTATGTTGCTTGAGATCCGAAGCCCTAATCTCGTACCAAGAATGATGAGAGCGTCAGTTGAATCAATTTGAAGAATGTAATGAGCTTAGTCCACAGAGAACAACCCTAATGCCAAACTCTTCGATCATGTAACCACGGGACGAATGCTATGTGTGAGATGTACAATGTATGATGAGAGATCTTAGGGACAAAAATTGGGGTATAACAGTCATTTACATGGTTGAATTCGTGGTGAAAAATGGAACAAGTTTCATGTTTACAATTTTGAAAATGGTTGAGAATTGAAGAAGTTACAGTTTTGGACATGGTGTTGTTCTTATCTGCGCGCGCAAGGTTGAAGATGAAGTCATTTTCAAATCTTAGAACTAGTATATTTTAAGTTTATTGCATGTTGTATTATGACCGGATGAAATAGTCACCCCAGTGGCAGGAGAAGTACGCGTAAGGCATTGAACTATAGGGACCTGGGTTCGAGTCCCAATGGTACCCTTTTGGTTTTTTCTTAATATTTCTTTCCAGATTCAATACATCAAGCAGCGCGCACGCATGTTATGCAACCTTGTGACTAGACCATTAGATCTACCAGCCATTTAATCCAAGGCCTCAAATGTGCTTGCACACCATGGACCATCAGGAGCTAACCATATGGAATCATACTGGCGCTGGACTTTGTTCTGGGCCTGGATCACATTTTTGAATCCCCCCTTTTACTTTATACACTCAGGCCCATAGACTTTTTCAATTTTTTTTCTTCTGATTTAAAGACAACAATACATTTTGGGCCTAACTCTTTTTACTACTTTTAACTCCCATCTTCCTTTTAAACCCCCAAGCCCAATATTTTCATATTCTTTATATTTTTTTTATTTTTTTACTTCTTTATTTATTTTATTTAAACTAAAAATACAAAAAACTATATTTTCTTAAATTAAAAAAATTTTAATACTTTATTTCTTTTTTGACTAAATTAGATTTTATTAGTTCTTTTATATCATAAAATATTTTCTTTTCTACATTAACAAAAATTATTTTCTAAACAAATTAAATTAGACTTAGGTTTTATTTTAATTAACTTAGATTTTAGGTTTTTATTAAATAATTAATTAAATTTTCTTGTAATTAAATTTAATTAGTTTAATTAGGTTAACATTGAACCTTTTTCTATCAAAAACCATACAAAGATAATTTCTTCTTCATCTCTACATTTTGTGCATAATTATTCTTGTAATTCATATTCAATGGTTTTGTAATAGTAATTAGGGTTTTATTTTTTTTCCCTATTCACAAATTGTACCCCCATTCCCAAAGTGTTGTAATAGCGTAGGACATTTAAATTCCGCAATTTATCGCTTTCCTTATTATTATTAGTAATTAGGGTTTACATGACAAGACTAAAATCAAACCATAGAAAACCCTAATTCAAAGACAATATATTTGAAATCAAAAAACTTTGCACACTTCCACCTCTAGGGTAACCCACACTTTTTGCCTCGGATATAAACAGCCATGTCCCTCGAACGTGAGATATTTTAGCAAAGACCCTTGATTAAAATATCATAGTCCCTCAATGACCCTTCAATATTGCCTTCGGTAAATGATCTTAGTCCCTTACAACCATTGCTAAAACATCTTACAAGTTGCCTTCTATGACTGTACGATGATCCACGCCCGTCCCTCACATCCAATGATAAGGCTCTCTACCAATCAATGGTAAAATAACACTATTTAAAGGAGGAGGAATAAACAAAGACTTTTTGAGTAGGTAGATTGCTCATAATTTCTTGCTCACAAACAAAACCATTTACACCTCACACTTTCAAAACACTTTCCAAACAAACATTTTGTATACATTCTCAACGATACGAGAATCACTACAAAATGGCCGTACATTGGCTTTTTCAAACATCTTTCCAAACACTTCATTTCAACAAATATTTTCAAAACCAACACTTTGTGTACATTCTCAACGATATGAGAATCATTGCAAAGTTTTCCAAACTTAGGAGTTTGCAAAATATTTGCAAACTTACACAAACACAAAGCAATTTAAAGTGATCAAGCAATTAAGAGCCTGTAGATAACTACAAATGAAAAGGGTGCTAACAACTTCCCTTTTCATAACCTATCCACCGAACTCAAGAAGAATTCTCAAAAGGTCTTTCCTGTTCTTTTCACCCTTTCCTTTATTGGATAAAAGAAAAGTCGGTGGTGACTCTTGCTATCCGCAACATCTGCGATCAAACATAAAACACCCAAGTCAGTTCTCCTACCGTATTAGAGAGCTGGAGACTCTACCGGGGAAGATAAACTAAAAGTGGGGTTACCTTAAGAGCTATATCACCTTTATTTGCTTTACTTGTTTGCTTTACATTTGTGGGTTATGCTTGGGTTTATTACTTATATAAATCCTATACCTGGATTTGGGTCATATTAGGTAAGTAGCAATAGATCATAGGGACTATGAGGCGTAATACCAACATGGTTAAAGTGATGGCTGCGTTAGTGTGACACATTTGTTGGTATCGGTGTCCCTTGAGTCCAATCAAGGAGAATACGGGGCTGCTGTGTGGTGTCATGAAGCACTAACTGACCATAGAACCTTAGCTGAACAACTTGGCCATTAGAAAGTAATGAGATAGCTGGCTTTGGTGCAAGACTAAATTTGGTTGATAATCGATACTACACTCATTGAGATCAAACTTTTGGGATATTTTGGCTGCAATTTGGATGCTTGAGCTAAAACAATGCACAATGAAGAAAGATCAATGATATTGAGATTCCTTAGAACCCGATTACTTTTGCTAGGACAGGTTGAACCGAATAAAATTCAAGAGGGTACTTACCTATAAACCCCATGCAAGCCTAAACCATAGCATTTTTACTAACCATTTCAAGGACCTAGGGATTTATCTTTGTTCTGTTTTATAGGATCTGGCTTCCACTCACAGAAATACCATGTGAATCAACTTCGTAAGGGTGCCTCCTCAACTCAAAGAGTTAACATCAAGGGCTCCTAAAAATTCTCCGTTCACCAAAAGATATGGTCGACTTCTCAATCTGGTTACCTCAAGCTTTGAAGAAGACATGATAAGGGTGCTCTTTCAGTTCTTTGACCATGTCCATCATTATTTCACCTTTCCTGACTATCAACTAGTGCCCACAATGGAAGAATTATCTCAACTATTGGGGGTACTTGTCCTTGATCAAATGCCATTCACCGGTTTAGAGGAAACTCCAAAGCCTGAAGTTATTGCCAAAGCCTTACATTAAAAGAGTTATGACATTGTAGCTAATTGGGAGACAAGAAGAGGGGTCAAAGGCTTTTTGGCTAAATTCCTGATAGAGAAGGCTCAACTATTTTAGGATGCTATGGATTTACAAGATTTTAAGGATATATTGGCTCTTCTAATATATGGGTTGGTGCTTTTTCCTAACCCTGACCAACTCATAGATGTGAATGCTATCAAAATTTTCCTTACTCGTAACTCTGTACCTACATTGCTTGGAGACGTTTTGCACTCTCTTCATACTCGTACTATGAGGAAGCGGGGGACTATTATGTGTTTCTTGCCTTTGCTGTCTAGGTGGTTTATTTCGCACCTTCCCCTGTCAGTATTGAAGAATGAGCAATGTTTGAGGTGGTCTCAAAGGTTAATGTCGCTTTCTCATACAGATATCCATTGGTGCTCTCGATCTCAAGAGGATATTACTATTGTTGTACCCCAAAATTTGCCCTCGCATTTTTCCCCAAGAAATCTCAGCTTCAGACATTTCCTGACTTTTCAAACTGGCTCAAGAATCGGACAAATGGACTTTTCTTGACAGTCAAGCAAAATTAAGGTTTTTACTGATTTTCAGAGCTCTGGATTGTTTCATACAGTTGGCTTAGGGTTTTGGTTGATTTTGGCTCAGT